TCTCGCCTACAAAAAAATTTTTGCAGTTCTAGATGAGAAAGCAATCACGGAAGAGAATTTATGTGGTCATAACACCTCAAAGGTACAAGTGACAAAGCATTAGAAAATGTGAAACTACAACCAGAAAGGTAGAGACAAACTAGTCGCTGAAAGTGTATTTTTTGAAAACAAAAAACCACCTTTAGAATTTCTTTTATCACATAAACTTGATAACAGCGGCCAAGCAGTAATTTATCCGAAAAATAAAAACACCACATAAGATATACCACGTCACTACAACAACAAAAGTTCCACCAAACGGAAAAAACATTAAAATGGTCTTGAATTCTAAATTTGGTTTCAGACTGCAAGAATTAAAAAATTCCCATCCCTTTCTTCGATTAAAAATGAAAAGATCTTCTTGTAAAGTGAATAAAAAAAGTATGACACCTTTATTCTGGTACTTCTCTTCAACTTTGCAGCAGGTGAATTGAATAATGCATAGGGTATATAGTTCAAACAGTCATAAATGAAAAACCAGGCCTTTAAAATCAAAATAATGAGCCTGATCCACCATGGCGATGTGCCCTTAAATGTTAAAATGAAGCATCTGATTAAACAAAAAAAAACGTCATCTTGCCCTCAAATAAAAATGTAACAACATGCTGAGATAAAATACTGAAAGAAAGTAGTAGTATTAAAAAGATTATTGGCTCTGAGGGTATCCTTAAAACTTCAGACATAAAATCCTCACTTTAACAAGCTTCTCAATTGTACGTTGTCGATCGATCCTCTCATAGGATTGTCTTCTTTTCCCCGAGGTCCCCGCCATTGCAAAACGCAGTTAAGACAGCTAACTTCAGAAACCTGTAAGATGCTAAAGTAGAAAGCGAAGTATAAATTTCCTGTCATCCCCAAGACGATAAACTTTCATTTCCTGTCTCATAAAAGACATACTTTCGCTGATAAGAAAAAAATATGCCTTGAGTCCAAAAAATGTTATTAACACCACTAACGGTTCTCGCTACAATAAGCCTGTCAAATTCCGTAAGTAGCAAATCCAAAATAGAAATTTTCAGCTTCTCTGCAAAATTACATTAATAGCATTCACTCATATACAACTATACCCACAAGCAGAGAACATCCCTTTCCTACTCGTCAGAGAATTCACTCTGCTACAAAAAAAATTTGTGCTCCGAAATGCTCGGAAATTTGTAATTCTAATTCTCAAAAACGATGGCTCTGAAAGAAAAACCAAGCCAAGGTGTCAAAAATTTTTCACTGCTCGTAGAATTAACAGCAGGGAATCATCTTAAACAGAAAAATCAAATGATTCTCTGTTGATACTTCTACAAGTATAGTCAATCAGCTTCATTACTGCTTGGTAGGAGATGATGGCTAAGGTTGGTCTTTGTCCAGCAGTAGAAAGAGCCCTCGTGAACTGATCAATCTAGCCTCCAAAACAGATTAAAATACCGTGGAAAACAACGTTCATTAGAACACCTCTAAACACAGAGCATAGTTCTTCTTGAACACAAATCTGATATTACATAATCAGACTTATTGAAATACAGTGCATCCGCTGCAGCAAAAAAAAAAAAAAA